GAAGTCAGAAATGAGTAGAGAAGAGTGTACTATGGTCTTAGCTTAGTGGTCGTGTCCGACAGTCAGCGTGTGCTCTGATACCATCTTGTAGCGACCAGACCTTAAACAGTCTTATCTCTGTGCATCAATGTCATCCCTGGATCGGTAATGCTAACACGCACAGTACTCGAGGATTTATAACAGAGTAGCAATCACACACTTATTACATCGAATGTCTAAAAAGAGAACTTATTACAATAATATGGCTTAAGGCCATCTAAAATTGATAACAACGGAAGGCTTGGAAGATAAAGTGAGTCCATCAGCTCCAATGGCATAGCTGAGTGAAAGACAATGACCTATGACACCTTACTCGTCGTCTGAAAAGTCTGCAACATGATATGTTGCAGCCCGAAATGGGTCAGCACATGGAATATGCTGGCAATGTAACACATAGAGTAATGAACAGAATAAATGCTATCACTACATGCATATAAGGCTGGTGGAAAGCTCTATGGTTACATTTTTGCATAAAGCCAATTTTATCCTACAGCAAAGGAATAAATTTTGTTTAACTATCATGGTGGTTGTTAAACATTGAGAATGTTCCTCCAACTCAATCCCAATTAAGCATCATCATTAAACCCAATCAAATTATATTTAGAGTGATGAGATCAACATGATAATCCAAGAACCAAATACTCAAGATGTCCATAACCGGGGACACGGCTAAGCATGATTAGTTTGTACACTCTGCAGAGGTTTGCACACTTTTCCCCACAAGACTCGATCTCCTCCGTTAGATTTCTCACACTACTTGGTGTTTGAGAAACGGATGATCGAGACACAGTCTTTCAGAAACATTAACTCTTTACTCTGGATGGACAGTTACACCTACTTTCCCCTACATCTACTAGCCCACCACTGAAAGAGGTCATGCAACTTAATCAACTATGCTAGAGCCCATAATAGCTTGTGGCTGCATGATACGTCCATTTTGCATCATGCATTTATATCAATATGTATTGCATTATGGGCGTTATTACACATTATGTCACAATACTTATGGCTATTCTCTCTTATTTTACAAGGTTTACCATGAAGAGGGGGAATGCCGGCATCTGGGATTCTGGCTGGAAAAGGAGCAAATATTGGAAACCTATTCTGCATAGCTCCAAAAGTCCCGCAACTCCATGAAAGTCATTTTTGGATTTATTAAGAAATTATGAGCAAAGAAAGTACCTGAGGGGGCCCACACCCTGGCCAGGAGGGTGAGGGGCGCCCCCTCCCCCTACTAGGTGCGCCCCTGTGTCCTGGGACCCCTGGTGGCCCTCCGGTGCCCATCTTCTGCTATATGAGGTCTTTTACCCTGGAAAAAATCAGAAGGAAGCTCACGGGACGAAACTCCGCTTCCACGAGGCGGAACCTTGGCGAAACCAATCTAGGGCTCCGGCAGAGCTGTTTTGCCGGGGAAACTTCCCTCTGGGAGGGTGAAATCATCACCATCATCATCACCAACGATCCTCTCATCGGGAGGGGGTCAATCTCCATCAACATCTTCACCAGCACCATCTCCTCTCCAAACCCTAGTTCATCTCTTGTATCCAATCTTGTATCAAACCCACAAATTGGTACCTATGGGTTGCTAGTAGTGTTGATTACTCTTTGTAGTTGATGCTAATTGGTTTACTTGGTGGAAGATCATATGTTCAGATCCTTTATGCATATTAATACCCCTCTGATTATGAACATGAATATGCTTTGTGAGTAGTTCCGTTTGTTCCTGAGGACATGGGTGAAGTCTTGCTATTAGTAGTCATGCGAATTTGGTATTCGTTCGATATTTTGATGAGATGTATGTTGTCTCTCCTCTAGTGGTCTTATGTGAACGTCGACTACGTGATACTTCACCATTATTTGGGCCTAGAGGAAGGCATTGGGAAGTAATAAGTAGATGATGGGTTGCTAGAGTGTAGAAGTTTAAACCCTAGTTTATGCATTGCTTCGTAAGGGGCTGATTTGGATCCATATGTTTCATGATATGGTTAGGTTTACCTTAATACTTCTTTTATAGTTGCGGATGCTTGCAATAGGGGTTAATCATAAGTGGGATGCTTGTCCAAGTAAGGGCAGTACCCAAGCACCGGTCCACCCACATATCAAATTATCAAACTACCGAACGCGAATCATATAAGTGTGATGAAACTAGCTTGACGATAATTCCCATGTGTCCTCGGGAGCGCTTTTCTCATTATAAGAAATTGTCCCGGCTTGTCCTTTGCTACAAAAAGGATTGGGCCACCTTGCTGCACCTTATTTACTTTCATTGCTCGTTACCCGTTACAAATTATCTTATCACAAAACTATATGTTACCTACAATTTCAGTGCTTGCAGAGAATACCTTACTGAAAACCGCTTGCCATTTCCTTCTGCTCCTCGTTGGGTTTGACACTCTTACTTATCGAAAGGACTACGATAGATTCCCCATACTTGTGGGTCATCAAGACTCTTTTCTGGCGCTGTTGTCGGGGAGTGAAGCGCCTTTGGTGAGTGGAACTTGGTAAGGAAACATTTATATAGTGTGCTGAAATTTTCTGTCACTTGTTACTATGGAAACTAATCCTTTGAGGGGCTTGTTCGGGGTATCTTCGCCCCGACCAGTAGAGCAAAGAGTTGCTCCTCAACCTACTGAACCTACTGAAAATGTTTACTTTGAAATTCCTTCGGGTATTGATAGAGAAACTGCTAGCTAATCCTTTTGCAGGAGATGGAATTGCATCCCGATTTACACCTTATGTTTGTGGATGAAGTTTGTGGATTATTTAAGCTTGCAGGTATTCCCGATGATGTTGTTAAGAGGAAGGTCTGTCCTTTTGTTTTGGATATGTATCATAATTCTGGAACAGTCCTGCAGGGAACATTCTCTTTGAGAAATGAAATTGGGGATCCCTTAATTTGAAAAAAATGACTATCATAGATAAGCTGCCACCATACTACTGCCTCATTAATTTTGCCAAGGCAGGTAGGGAATTCGCAGGTTGAAAAATGTGATATAGTTCAGACAAAGAAACACATGACATGCTTAGTTTGTTTAAGCGTCAAAGGAATGATCCATAAAAAACACATGGATTGGTTGATAACAATTAAATCAGTTGGTTTGAACTTCCCCCTCTGTATATGGGACCGCGATACCGGGCACCAACCATATTCTATCCCTACAGCCTCGCCCAGAAACACAAACACAGGTGCGCGCAGGCCACCTCAAATATGTGAACAAGATTAGCGTGAACAACTTTCTAGAGATGGTAATTGTGCCAATAGCCATAGCCGTTGTCGTCGTAACTAGTACAGAATAGTTCTTTAGTGAAGGGCTCTTAAACCCCTCCACTGGATGCCCGTCAATGTTGACAAAAAAGCATCACTGACAAGCTCTCATCATTCATCAGTGGTGATACAAGAACTAAAAGAAGCCCATGGGCACCAGTTTTGCCTCACAACCACATGGTCCTGTTGTGTTACACCTTTCTAGCAAGAGTTCCCATTATCAGAAATATCAAATATTGGCCGAGGAAAAAAATCCAAGTATCATGTTACACGTTATCAGAATGGATTGGGTATCTTAATGTCTGTTTGGGCTATTTGGCACAATATGTTTGGTTCGGTGATCTATAAAAAACATGTGATTGTTAACGCTCCACCGTATTATATGGACACATTTCATTTGCACAATTAGTTGGTAGTTGGTAGCAATAAAACCAGCTGTTATATGTAAGACAAGTCTATCTTCACATTCACAACACTCACACGCACACAGATAGAACCACATGTTTGCGCTTTGGCAGCATGAGTTCATCGGGAGTTTGGAAGAACCTCAAATTTCTCTTCAAGTTTGTAGTAGACAACTTCCTATCCGTGGTGACCGTACCAATAGCGGCAGCCACTATTGTTTTGGTAGCAAGGCTCGGGCCCGATGAGATCCTGGGTCGGCTCAGAGCCCTTACACCTGCATACCTCTTCTTGTCATGCTTCCTCCCAGCCTCTGCAGTTACCATGTATCTATTATCACAACCACAGAAGGTGTACCTCGTCGACTACGCCTGCTTCCATGGAACTCATCTGAACCGCGGCCCCTTTTCTGCATTCTTGGAGTGCGCACGCCAATCGACTACGCTCAACGAGCGGAGCATTCGTTTCATGTCGCGGCTTCTTGAGAGCTCAGGGCTCGGCGAGGAGACCTGCTTGCCCACACCAGTCCACTATATCCCATGGAAGAAGTACTTAACATTAGAGGCTGCCCGTGAAGAGGCTGAGCTCGTGGTCTTCTCAGCCATTGACGAATTATTTTCCAAGACAAACGTCTGTCCTGAGTCCTGACACTATCGACATATTAGTCGTCAACTGCAGTGGCTTCAATCCCACACCATCCTTCATTGATATGATAATAAACAAGTACAAGCTAGGAGGCGACATCCATAGTGTGCACCTATCTGGAATGGGGTGCAGCGCTGGGCTGATATCGGTTGAGGCTGCGAGGAACCTTCTACAGACCGCGCGCCGAGGCGCACGAGCGTTGGTGGTATGTCTGTCGTTTTGCCTGTTCCGCATGGGCGGAGCAGCGGTACTACTGTCCACGTCCGCCGCCAAAGCCCGACTCCAGCTCATGTCTGTCGTGCGTACGCTCACTGCAGCGGATGACAACTCATACAAGTGCATTCATCGGGAGGAGGATGACAAGGGGCACACGGGTGTCAATCTCTCCAAGGACCTTATCGCGGCCGCCGGCCGAACTCTCAAAGCCAACATCACCACCCTTGCGCCCATCGTCCTCCCAATCTCAGAAAAACTTTTGTTTGCAATGTCCTTCGTGGCACAAAAGCTGTCAAGCGAGCGTTCTAAAGTGTACATACCCAACTTCCTCACAGCCATTGAGCATTTTTGCATACACGCGGGTGGGACTGCAGTCATCGATGAGGTTCAGCGCAACCTCAGCTTGTCCAACGAGCATGTTGAGCCGTCGAGGATGACCCTGCACCGCTTCGGAAACACATCCAGCAGCTCAACTTGGTATGAGCTAGCATACATTGAGGCCAAGGGCCGTATGCATCGCGGTGATCGTGTATGGATGATCGGCTTTGGCTCAGGATTCAAATGCAATAGTGTGGTGTGGAAGTGCATCGCTCCAGCCCCCAACACCAATGGGCCATGGGCAGGGTGCATCCACCGCTATCCAGTCCAGATCAAGTTCCTCAAAACAAGCACCGGCAATACACGGATGGCAGGTCACAACAATAAGCAGTTGAGAGACACTTGAAACGGGCTAACAAAAGGATGCTTTGTTTCTTTCTTTTTACCCGCTTTGATTTCTAAAATAAATAGGGAGTACAAGGGAAGGCAAAGCCTCACTGTTATAATGTACCATCTCCATTATTGTACCTGTACACCGCAGAAAATATAGTACTCAATCTTTTCTTACCTTGTAACGTTATTTGTATATCCTTGGCTGTGTTTATCCCAAAGATGTTATGCACTAATGTGGTTGCTGATATGATTATTGGTTTGCTTGTTTAATAAACTATTCCCTCTGTAAACTAATATAAGAGTGTTTAGATCACTATTTTAGTGATCTAAACGCTCTTATATTAGTTTACGGAGGGAGTACTAGTGTAACAAATATAGTGATGGGCACACGCTCATGCCTAAAATTAGGACGCTTAGAAAGTACTCCCTCCGTAAAGAAATATTCTAAACACTTTTATATTTCTTTACGGAGGGAGTACTACATCTAGTGATCTAAAAAATCTTATATTAGTTTACAATACTCGCTTGCACTAGTAGAAAACAGGGCATTTGTCCCGGTTCGTAAGGGCCTTTAGTCCCGGTTCATGAACCGGGACTAAAGGGTCGTTACTAATGCCTCCCCCCTTTAGTCCCGGTTCTAACACGAACCGGGACTAAAGGCCGCGGCCACGTGGAGCTCCACCTTTAGTCCCGGTTGGTAACACCAACCGGGACTAAAGGAAATTTTATGATTTTTTTATGATTTTTTTATTTTTTTTTATTTTCAAATTTCTGAATTATTTTAACCTCTAATCTCTAATCACCACCCCTCAACGCTGCTCAATTTACCCTCTAATCTCTAATCACCCCTCATCATTCCAAATCATCTAACTTCCCGAACGGTCACCCATCCTCCCACTCCCCCAGCCTGAGCATGCTTAACTTCTGGGTTCTATTCTCCCTCGTTTTCAAGTCTGCACTTGTTGTTTTCCTGACAATAGTAAGATGTCAATCCTATTAACCCTCGGGAATTTTGCTTGAGCATGAAGTGACACATTTCACTGTTTGAGTTTGAAACTATTGTTTTAAAAAACAATAATTATTTAGTAACACTAATATTTCTTGAATAATTAGTTTGACCATTGTTTGACCACAGTTTGACCAGATTTGACCAAAATTCAAAATAACTGAAATAATTATTTAGTAACACTAGTATTCTAGAATAATTAGTTTGACCACAATTTGAAAGTTTTTCGGTTTTTTCCACTCTAGATCTTAAAAGCCCCGTAACTTTTTTTCTGTTAGGTTTTTGAGGATGTTGAAAATGTTTAACGGGGTTCCCCCGATTAAATTTGGATGTAACTTTTCGAGTAGATGATTTTTCATATAAAAAACTTTTTTATCCGAGTTCGTATGCAAAAGTTATGCCCATTTTACTAAATTCTAGAGAGATTTTGCAAATAAAGTCGAAATTCATATTTGTAAATTTTCCCAACAACTAGACCATATATCACATGGGAAACTTATTTT